GGGAGACTACTTCTCCCTCTACCCGTCCTCCCCTGCTCATGATCTCTCTCTCGCAATTAAATAAATAAAATCTTTTAAAATTAATTAATTAATTAATTAAGATCATTCTTTAAGTTTAAGATCATATTCTGTTCTATTTCAAAGAGGATTCAATCCACTGGCAGCGTCCTGGGAAAGTTGAAGATGTTACAACATTCTATTATCAACCCCGGGCTCCTTCTGTTGAAGTGGAGATGACTTCATACTTGCTTCTTGCCTATCTTACTGCTTGGCCGGCCCCATCTTCAGAAGACCTGTCTGTGGCCTCACGTATTGTGAAATGGATCATCAAACAACAAAACCCCAATGGGGGCTTCTCCTCCACTCAGGTCTGTGGAGAGAGCCTCTAGGAAGAAAAATAAATATGTTAATACATGTATAGACATATTCTAGGAGTTGAATAATCGGACAATATTTCTAATTCATACTTTCTCCATTCCTCCATCACCAGAAAGGTTCCAGCCTCATTATTTTATATATTCATTATTGAATAAAATCCTCTGTACAGTCTCTCATATCTTCTTTCCTTAGTCGACCCCCAAATGGAAAATAAATCAATCTTCCTAATGCAATATTTCATAAAATTACTTCCCTGATAAAGTAAATCTTTTTTTTTCCATCCAAAGACTAAAATTATCTAATAATGTTATTCAAAATATTTACTGTCCCCCAGTAAGCACAAATATTGCCATCTAATTAGGCTAATCCCTTCACTTTTTCTGGAATTGCTCTCTCCTTTTTCTATGTCTCCACATAATATTTCCCACCCTGGTAGTCCCTGATGCCTCTCTTTCTGTCTATATAAACCTTTCTCACGATTCATACATAATTTTATTTCTTCCTCACGGTACCTTCTTCAAGTACGTCTTCTTACTCACCTTCTCATGAGGAAGTCTTCTCTTACTAATCTAGCTCTGCCTTCTTTTCCTTTCTCTGAATGTTTACAACAAAAATTATTATATAAATTTCTAAATTATTGAAATAGCTTTTGCTCTATGTCAATGTGTGGGTCTAATTTCCATATGTATAGTGTAAACTACTTGAATGGAGAAACTTTTTTATGTCCCCCTAAAGTACATAGAATAGTTTATGTTAATAACGGGTCTGTGTTTGTCATGAAATAACTCTGAGAGAGAGTGGTATTGATATGATTTACATCCAGTATGGTTTTGTTACCTGCACTCCTGTGATTTCTGCCCCATCTTTTTTCAGGATACTGTGGTAGCTCTCCAAGCCCTGTCCAAATATGGAGCAGCAACTTTCAGTAAAAGGGAGAAAGCAACTGTAGTGACTGTCAAGTCTTCAGAGACGTTCTTTGAAGAATTCCAAGTCCGCTATACCAATTGCCTGTTGCTGCAGGAGGTCAGGTTGCCAGAGATTCCAGGGGAATACAGCACGACCGTGTCAGGGTCAGGATGTGTGTATCTTCAGGTGAGACTTCCAGGGTTTAGGGGATGCTACAAATGAGGAGAAAAAGCCTCAAGAATTGGATATGAATCTCCAAATGGAAAAAGAAATGTGCGCTAAAGAGAGACAGACTATTTGAGTGCAATGACAAAGGATTTTTTTTCCATTTGTTTCAGACATCCTTGAGATATAACATCCTGCCCAAGAAAGAAGGGAAAGTCCCCTTCATTCTGAAGGTCGATACTCTCCCCAAGAATTGTGATGGAGTACGTGCTCACAGGAAATTCCAGATTCACATCAACATTAGGTAAATCCATTTGTTGGTAAGACCTTTTGTAGAATATGGAGCAACTGATTTTCTTTTGCGGGGGAACTCCATTGTCTCAAGTCACACAATATGAATATAGAATTCTCTCAATATTTACTAACAAGAAAATTTTCTTCACTCATACCGAAAAACCTTAACGTTGAGCATATGATGTTGCCATACCTGCGGAGTGGAGTTCATAATGGTGGGTTTTCCAAATAAGCATAGCAGAAACAAATAGAATAGATAGGGAAGCTGAGTGGTAGTTAAGGATAGGGAACACCAGAAATAATAGAGAAGGGGGAATTTCTGTCTTGAATGAACTCCAAAGAATTTTGTTTGAATGCCTTGTCCATGTGCCTTGCCTTCATAGTTATACTGGGGAACGACCAAGCTCCAACATGGTCATTGTTGACGTGAAGATGGTATCAGGCTTCATACCTATGAAATCATCAGTGAGAAAGGTAAAGCCTAAATCCTTTACAGATAGCAAAGTCATGATAAATCCTGACATTTATGCTTGTCAATTTTATTGGGTTTTCAAAAGGTTTACTCCCTCACACTTACTTCTCTAGAGTGTTTCCATCATTTTAATAGTGGGTGTCACCATTATGTGGTCTCAGTGTAAGACGTAAGTCATAGACATGGTTAATAATGCTCCAGCAGCCCTTGAGCATTAGGTATGTGGAGAGGTATTGAATAATCATATATTTTAAAAAGGGAAATATATATATACATATGTATAATATAAAAATATATCTCATATATGCACATACATATGATAAATGAGATATTCTTCCTTTTTTCTTTTTATATGGAAAGGATGATTCTCTCTCATGCATCATGAAAATGTATATGTTAGAGATAGACTAGATAGATGTTAGAGAGATGGACAGATAGATACAGAGATATATAGGTATAGATGATAGAGATGACAGATAATAGAGAAAGGGTTTAATAAATATTACTATTATTCTCAAAGAAATCACAATTAGCAGTTTGGATGTTTATGAACAGCCAGTTAGATCATAAGTACCTGAAAAGTGCTCTTAGCCTGGAATTTCCTCATCCCATATGTCTGGCTTATACTCTTGGTCAACAGCTCCAAGAAAAGCCTCAGATTCAAAGGACTGAAGTGAGCACCAACCATGTCCTGATTTACTTTGAAGAGGTAAGATTCTGTGACTCTGCTAGAAACTACTGGAGTAGTGGACACACCAATCCAGATTCTGGGTAATGTTTTGTACACACAAGTGAAGGAGAAGAAAATAGCCATAGAGGGAAATGAAGCCTGGATTGGTCAACAAGGCTCAATTTACTACATTTGACTGTCCATAGAATCATCTCTTTTGTCCTTCTTGTATCTGCCATTGAGTGTATTATGCAAATCTCAAAATGTCTCATTCTTTCCATAGGTTTTGATACAGATGGATAGCATAACCATAAGGTTTGATAGTATCATAGGAAGAGAGGATGGTAACTAGAAACTAAGTTAATCTTTGATTCCAATTCAGTTTTCCTGTCTCTCCAGCTAACCAATCAAATTGTGAGTTTCTCCTTCTCAGTGGAACAAGACGTCCAAGTTGACAATTTAAAACCAGCTACTGTAAAAGCCTATGATTATTACGAGACAGGTGAGTGGGATTCAGACATGCTGAGTTTTGAAAGGCAAAAACTGACTAATCTGGTAAAGGGTCACCGTAACTCAAACAAAATCCCACAGTCTTTCACCAGAAGAAAAAGTGAGTTTACGGTCATTGGATAATCATGTGCCCCCTAAACTAGTCTTGAACCATTCTTATAAAGCAATAAGGGGATCGGTTCTTTCTAAATTCTCCTATAAAGTTGTTTGTTCTGGAGTGAAATATTCCAGAAATATAAGTAGAATAGCAATAACTAAAAAAACACCTCAGTACTGATTTGTGATATGAGACCTAAAATTTGATCCATTTTTAAAAATATTTTATTTATTTATTTGAGAGAGACAGAGCATGCATGAGAGAGAGCATGATCTGGGAGGAGGGGCAAAGGGAAAGGGAGAAGCTGACTCCCTGGTGAGCAGGGAGTCGAATGGGGGGACCTGAGCGGAAGGCAGATGCTTAACTGACTGAACCACCCAGGTGCCCCAAATTTGATCCATTGTTGACTTGTGCCTTGAGTAGTCTCACAAAATTTGGGAAACTCTGTAATATATCAGGAAATTCTTCCATTTGCTCATGTCTTTGAACTAGAAATTTACCAGCATCATAACATGCTGGTAGTGTTAAAACTACTCTTTCCTGGAATGAGAAACAGTTCAGAGAGGAAGTTAAACTCCAATAAAGAGAACACAGCTGTGAAGAGGGCCATACAGTATCCCATAGATAGACAACCTTCCATCTGTGAAACCTGCCCCTGACTTCTGTATCCAAGCCCAGTTTTCTCTTACTGCCCCCTCCACTAGTCCTGCATGGTTTAGTACAGAAGTCATTCGTTTCCATTGGCTCCGTAACGGTCTTTATTCTTTTTATCCTAGCTTACACAGTTATTTTACAATTAACTGCCCATATGCTTATTACTGAATGTCTTCACTCTTTCTGTCTTATCATTTTGTGTTTCAGGGGAATTCACTATTGAAGAATACAGGGATCCCTGCAGTGCTGGTAAGGTATAAACAGTGAAGTCTAATGCCAACATAAAGAAAATAAATAAACATCAGTTGTCCATATATGGTTGCTTCTTGAGTACATCCTTATCATATTATAAAGACCATGGTGTATCATTTAGGAACTTAAACGATTTCAAATGTATTACAGAATTTCTCAGTAGAAAAAAATGCAAGTAAAGTATAATTACTGGGTCTGGGGTGACTTGTTTGCAGACAAATCCAGGAATTTACCACATATAAAAACTAAATCATTTAATATTTAGTTTATATTCTATACCCAGTGGTGATATATTTATCACCTATGAACTTTTTAGGATATTTCTAAATTTATACTAGTTAAGGTCAGGAAACTTTTCCCTGTAGTTTTCCATATAGCACAGCATGAGAGATGTGATCTACAAGATTTTCCTTTACACCAGTCGACAATGTTCATTTCTGACAATATAACACTTGTGAGACCTTCAGTTCTCCATTCTAAAATAGGAAACAAAAAACAAGAACAGCCCTATCATTAAAAATAATTAAAATTTATTAAGTTCAAATATTTATGATTGAAATACAAAACATTATTCCTTTAGTAGATGACAGAATTTCCTTAATTTTCCTATCTTTTATTCTACTGTTTAGAATCTGAACACAGAAATGCTTGAAAATGGAAACTTGTGGACCTCATCAGATGATGTTCTCCAGGAACGAAGGACAAAGACTTATCAGGAGAGAGAAGATAGTGGGAGAAAGAGGGGACAGGAATTGGAAATACATAAAATTTGATGTTGAATAAATTTATGACATATACACTTCTACCATTTCTTTTGTTCTGTATCGATATTATATTTCCCTTCTGAAGTATGTGTCTATTCCCTGCAGTATTTTTACAAACACTATAAAAGCTATATGAAAAGCTGAGCTAAAAACACTACAGATAAATCAAAATGGAATTCCAAAAAATGTTCAAGTAACCCACAGGAAGGTAGACAAAAGAAAACAATGTTTCCAAATATTGGAAACAACCAAAATGTCCATTAATAGGCAAATGGTTATACTAACTGTGGTACATTCATGCCATGGAATACTACTCAGCAATAAAAAGGAACAAACTATTGATCTACACAAAAATTTGAATGGATTTCAAGAACATTATGCTGGGTGAAAATAAAGCCAATTTCAAGAGGTCATACTATATGATTCCTTTTATTCATTTTATTCTCATGAAATGAGAGAATTATAGAAATGGGGAAAAATTAGTGGTTTCCAGGGATTAGGGATGGTAGGGCAAGGGGGGATTGGAATGACTATAAGGCGTTGGTTTAGAGAGATATTTGGGGTGATAAAACCCTGTATGTGTTTTGTTACAAGTAAAATATTTGCATTTCTGTGGCTTAATAAAATGTTTTAATAATGACTATGGTGGGGCATCTGGGCGACTCAGTCAGTCAAGCAGCTGCCTTCTGCTCAGGTCATGATCCCGGGGTCCTGGGATGGAGCCCCGCACTGGGCACCGTGCTCAGTGGGGAGTCTGCTTCTCCTTCTCTCTCTGCCCCTCCCCCACCCCCACTCATGTGATTCATTTTAAAATTGTGAGTCATTTTAAAACAAAAGTATTCTCTTTTTTCCCTTGGAAAAACAGACAGTCCATTACTTTGCACAGTTGTGTTTTTCTGTTCCCACTATAGTCTCACCTTATTCATAATTATAACTTTTAACCCTATATACAGAAAAACAACTGGAAGAGAGATCATTGAGAAGTGTCTCCTGTATCTAGCATTTTAGCAAGCTAATAAAGTTCTCAAGAATACATATAAAGACAATTTTCTGCAGCCACCCATATCCCTTTTACAACTTTTCAAAGTTTGGAGTTGTAAAAACAAGGAACAGAAAACATAAGGCAAGGAAAATGTGGTTAATTTGAAAAAAGACCAACTACAAATAATTCAAGAAATAAAAAATTGATTCATTGAAATAAAAAAAGAAATCAGGGGCGCCTAGGTGGCTCAGCTGGTTAAGTGTCTGACTCTTGATTTCAGCTCAGGTCTTAATCTCAGGGTTGTAAGTTCAGGCCCCACATTGAGCTTTGGGCTGAGCGTGGAGCCTACTTACAAAAAAGGAAAGAAAGAAATCAATGCTGAGTACTGAATTTTGTTGGTGAGGGAGCAGCCCTGGCTCACTGGATGATAGAGAAGTTCACTAAGGCTTTGAAACCAGGTGACAAAAAAAAAAAACCAGATGACAAAAGAAAGAAAGAAATTAGAAATCTAATGCTTTAAGCAGTAGATCTGACAGATAAAATGAAAATTAATGAATTTGTAATAAGATCTGAGGAAATTACTCATAATGCAAGAGAATTAAAAAGTTATGCAAAATACCAAAAACAAGTTTAAAAAAAACAAAAAGCACAGAGTCAACACTTATTTCCAACAAAATGGAAAATTAGCACAGACTGCTTCTTCCTTCTTCCAGATAACCCTGGAGAAATAACATAAGCAAGAGAGAAACAGAAGTTTTAGGAACCAACAAAATATTAGAAAAAAAAAACTGGAGGAAATGAAGGCAATCTGGAGCTGATGAAGAAGTGTCAGGGGAGTTGGTAGTCAAAGAGAAAGGAATTTGGGAGATGGCTGACTTGGTAAATTGAAAGAAGTTATTTAAGTTCTGCAGTTGGTTTTCCTTCAAGCTGGTTTGGGACAATCATTACCCCTTCACCACAGAAATCAGCAGCAAAAGCCTAGAGTAAAATCTTATTAACCGAAAACCTCTGCAAGTATGAAGAGTAGACGAAACCTGATGTGGAATAATCAGCTGCCTCAGACTTTCGTTTTTCCATTCCGTCCCCCTTTCAACCCTCCATGCTCTGGAGACGATCTCTTTTCACTACTGTCTCCTAAAGATATAAAAATGTAGCAAGTAAGCGTGATCACCAATAGTCCTTGGTGACTGGGGATTTCCTCCCTGGACTCTTTCTCTCTCCACACTTTAAAGTCACTAGCAGGATCACAGACAAGGATCTGATCTTTGGCTCTTCCCCTACATATATCATTGGACAAAGTATCCCATTAATAATGGGCTCACAGACCAAAATAACAAAATAAATGTTGGCTGCTCAAGTCCTATAAAAGAAAGAGCAAACTGATCAACATATATTACCTAAAGGAGAATTATCAGAATAAACATAATATAAAATAATCCTAATATTTTAAAATAGATAATAAAAGGTATACAAAATATAAATTAAAAACTAGAAACCATAACACAAAAAAGTGGGAATATTAGATATGAATACATAATATTTGATATTTATGAGATTAATATTCTGATGTATATAATTGAACAAAATATGAGCTTAAAGATGAAGTTGAGGAATTTTGCAAAAAAGCAGCAGAAAAGTTGAAATAAATACATAGAAAATGCAAATGGAAAACTAAGTAATATGAAAGATTGAAGTAAAAACGTGAACATCTACATCTTAGACTTCCCAGGTGAGATGAAAGTAAAAGTGAAAAGGAAGAAAATATGAAGAAATAATGGAAATAAATTTCCCAGAATCAAAAAAAATAACTAACAGCATAAAAGAGAAGAAAAAAAAACACCACAAACCTGGACACATACTAAACTTTTAAAATTTATAAGATAAGGAAAAATCCTAAATGATTCCAGAGACAAAGACTAAGTACAAGTTCTCAACAACACTGGATACAAGAATACAATGGAAAAATAGTTTAAGGCACTAAGGAAAACTTCACATCAGGAATTTTATATCCAAAAAATAAATAAATAAAAATTCAAAACATAAATAATAAAGAATTTTATATCCAAGAAAATCATGACTCAAATGTGAGAGCATAAAAAATATTTGCATGTATACACAGCCTCAGAAGTTTTTTTTTTCTATTGTTTTATTATGTTATGTTAATCACCATACATTATATCATTAGTTTTTGATGTAGTGTTCCATGATTCATTGTTTGCGTATAACACCCAGTGCTCCATGCAGAATGTGCCCTCTTTAATACCCATCACCA